TGCCGAGGCTTGCTACGAGAGCGGTACGTCCCCGCTAAGTAGCTGGGTTCCATTGCAGGAAGACGCGAATAGCTCGTCTATGGATACATTTGAGCAGTGAGTTTCCACGTATTCAAGTCTTTGGATTTTTGACCGTGTTGCTCTTCGCAGACTTCTCCGCCGACGAGCAGAGGAAGGTTCATCATTAGCGATGGATATATGATTCGTGACTTGTACATAGGAATTAATGGCATTATCTCACTCTTCCATGGCATTTCCGTTTCCCTTATCTTTCTCCGACGTACGTTGCTCCAACCCGATACTTCCTTTTGCTCTCCATATCCTCCCTCCACTGGTGGTCGTGGCTTTCCACAATCGAACGAACCCATCAGAGCCTGTTGATGAGAGAATGGTGCTGCAAGAAATGAGTATTAGAGTAAGAACCAGACGCTCACACTCACCCAGTAACATTCCATTCTACCTTACCCACTTGTCCCGCACCTCCTGCTGCAGTTTTGTGATCGTCAAAGTCGGCCACAAGGGTCGATTCCCACTTTGCATCGGCTTCATCCCCCTCATCGTCTTCATCTGGTATTGGAGCGGTGACTTTCCAAATTCTAACATGGCCATCTCTTCCTCCGGTAGCAACAAGATGATATGACCTTCCACATCCAGGAGCCCATGATACGCTCGAGATCGCACTTGAATTTGAGGGGCCAAGCTGTAGAACCATTTGAGGAGATTGGGAAGGAGAGAGGCGGAAAATCTACATGTAATGAGGATGAGATAAGTAATGTGATGCAGATATACGCACCTTGGCCACCCCCGACGGACCACTTGTGCAAGCCAATAGAGCGCCCCACCACCTTTCTTTACACCAGCTAATACACCAGCCTCCATCTGCTTCTCGCGTACCCGCTGGTTGATTTTGCTTTGGGGCAGGACTAGCGATGGCAACAGCAGCACCTTCCTCATTGTTGGCTGTTTGCTGCAGTGGATTGACTTCGAGCCTCTCTGCCAACAACCAAGCATCCAGCTTGTTTTGTTCTAGACAATCGTAGACTCTGAGCCAGCCATCGGCAGAAACACAGGCGAGTCTCAACCCAAATGGATTGGGTGCGAATTCAAGCTGCCTGACGCTGGCCCTGGCATCCACGAGTGCAGCTTTTTCTTCCCATCCACCACCACCTTGCACAGACCTCTCCCAGATTTTGACTGTTCCCTCAAATCCAGCACTGGCAATTACATCTCCAAACTCTGGATGAGCCCAGGCGACACAGGCGACGGGAGCATCGTGAGCTTTCCATTCATCTTTGAGGGACCAACCTTGAGCATCGTCGAGAGCCCAGACGCATACTCTCTGATCCAGGCTGCAGGTAGCAAGCCTTTGACCGTAATAGTCGTAGGCAGCGCAGGTGACGAGATCTCTGTGGGCGTTGTTCAAAAGACCTGTTTGAATCATGGAAGTTGAAGTCATGTGACTTGATGCTTTTGGCCTTTTCCCGACGCCTTCACACCGTCACTGTTCCCGCCCCCGTCGCCCTCGTCGACCTCGTGCGCTCGCAGCAGTATGAAAAGGCTTACAAGCTACTCAGATCTCTGGATCTCACCGATATACCCCATTCTCGTATATACGAATCAGCGGCTCTTTACGCGTCCCAGTCCGATACTACCGCCATGACCATGTATCTGTCCCTCTACCCTGAAAACGATGATCCTCCAACTAAATTTGTGGATCATCTACTGGGAAACTCTCGGATACACGCTTTGCATCAGTCTGGCTTGATTCTGGCCAACAAGGGGTATGAAATTCGCCAGCCGTATTCCCTTGCCTTACATTTCTTCTTTCCAGCTATACCTCCCTCGTTAGATCAAGAATTCTTCCTCTTCTTTCAGGTCACCAAGCCCTTGAAATCCAATGGGCCCTTCAGCCATCAAAACTACCAGAGGTCGCAGACGACGATGCTTTTGAATCTTCCGAAGAATATTTACCCATGTACTCTTCTTCCACTCACCTATCGACCGACACCTTTACCCCTTCCGTCTCCGCTCTGCATTCCCTGCTTTCGCATTTAGACTCTCCTCATTCTTACTCCTCTGCTCGTCGGCTCCTCCTGGACCTCGTCGCTTTGGGTGTTCCAATCCCTCCAAACCCAATTTTCGAACGTCCAGCTGCCTACGCCCTGTCCACATCCCTGGGCCTTTCCGAAGACACTACCCGTCTCTCCGAATTTGCCCTCTGGTTCACCCATTATCCCCCACGTCACCTCAACTCTACCTCACGTCCCTCCTTTCCTCTCCTTCGTCCCCATCTTCACTCCTCCATCAGTACCTCTCTCCCCTTCTATATATCCTTTGCTCTCCTCTTATCTCAAAAAGGTTACTTTTCTTTCCCAGCAACACACTTACTTCCAGCTATATTCCGCTTCTCTCCCCCGTCCGACTCTTTGGATTTTAGTAGCCAATATGAATCCAATATCCGCGCCTATTCTCCTCGTCGCTTAGAGATGGAATTGGGTCGAGCACGATCCCTTGCAATTCGCTTTTTGTGCGAAGCAGGACATCTGGATGCTGCGTTATCTTTATTACCTCCCGCCGACTCTAATTTGGCGCTTCGAATATCCATCCACACTTACATACTCCTTCTTTCTCGCTTAGTCACTTCTCAGCATCCCGAGAAAGGGACATACATCGGATCCCTTCAATCTATCATCCTCACCCTCCGCTCCACCGAGCAGAGCCCTCCCTCCGATAATGCAACTCTACATGCCTTATTCCAAGCCGAACTAGACTCGATGGCTAAATCTCCTACGGCGTCTAATTCCACGTCTCTCCCCCTATCTCTAACCCTCCGCTCGTTCTCCAAAGCCCTCCTGTCTCCTAATCCTTCCGACTTTCCCACATCACAAGACTTAGTCAGATTTTTCATCGCATATATCTCTTTGCGAGGTTCAGAATACCAGACAAATCATGGGTCACCAAGGTCCGGGACTGTAAAGAGGTAATGTATCTGCTCTCTTGACTGTTTTCATAGGTTCTAATTCCACTCTTCAGGCATTCAGCGCGGAACGCACTTACCCTTCTTCTGACCCATACTCTCGCCTTCTCCCCCATACCTTACCGCGCCTTCTCCCATATCCTCTTTGCACACATGGTGCTACTATTTCGACTCGGAACATCTTCGTCTCTCATTAATGCCTCATTCCCTTCCGCTAAAAACCCTGTTACCCAGGAATGGGAGGCGTACACTTCATACTCTCTATCCCCCTCCCCCGATATTTCTCTACGAACCCTCCTGCGCCTCTTTCACACCTTCTTCCACCTTCAAGGTGTTTCCCGCTCCCAGTTTCTAGAAGCTCTGCATTCCCCTGGCTCAGCGGGAGAAAATCCATTCGGCGACGACTCTTCTTTTGAGGAAGTGGTTGATCCCAGTGAGAGCGATTCTCTCAGAGAGCAGTTTTACTTTTCTACCCTGTCTTCCCTCCCTCAATTCATACGTTCAGCATCCAATAAGCCATCTCCTCTTCCCCTCTTATTCCCCACTCGCCTTCACCTCTCCCTCGTTTGGCAATCTCTCGCTTTCCTTGCCTCGACGCCTAGGAAACTAGGGCTACTCTTCAAGGAGTTAGTTAGATTTGCAAAACCTTCAGAACGCCCTTCAAACTCAATGGAAATCGAGTCGGGTTCTGAGGAGCTTGTCGAGGATAATCCGACGGAAGCAGAGGTAGCCCGTAGCCCGTATACCAAACTCACTGATTCTCTCCCGTCGTCCCTTCAAGACAGCGTTACCTCGGCCGATTACCCCACTCTCCAAACTCCCAGATCGTGGACCAGTCGAGGTCGTCGAATCAATCAACCGGAACAAGCAACGCCCAACTCTGAGTGGCCGCTACACGCCCATGCCTCACCAATCATAGCTGAATGTTTTACTCCATTCATTGTCAAACTAATGAGGGCCTCTATGCTCTCCCCATCAGGTATAACTCACCCTTTTCTTTGTTTCTAGCTCTCGTTTTCACTTCTACTTGCACTTCAGATCCCTCTAATCTCGAATCCGACGCTTTTGCCAATGTCATTCCAACTTCCTTTTCGACACCCACTCAAATCCTCCGAACCCTCCTCTCTCTCAATCTGTCACCTACAATATACCACTACACCGAGATGGCGAGATGGTGGGCCTGGAAAGGGGAAGAAGGAAGGGTGTGGATTATGTTGGGGAGACTGGAGGAGGCAGGTCTACAGTCCGCGGAAGCACGAAGAGAGAGCGATAAGCAGAGGGAGAAAGATAGGAAGCTTCTGCAAGATTTGACAAATACGGACGGATCCCCGAATGGTAAATCCTTTGAAAATAAGTTCATCTTTCCTCGCTGATTATCTCTTCTTCAGAGTCCGTGCCCTCACCTCCACCGCCCTTTCAATCCTCCTCTCCACCCCTTCCATCAAGCGATCTTCCCCTATACATATCCCTAATGCGTGCTTTTCTCTCTTCTCCTAACTACCGGACCCCGAATGATAACCCAGCAGAGCCTCCGCCTCTGGTTGGATCGACACCGATGATATCTTCCCTTTTCCCTAGTTTTCCATTGGCCTCTGCAAACGCCGTCACTGAAGATTTTATCTTACCCTCCTCTCTCCTCAACCCAACCCACCCCGATCGGGGCACGCGGCGTCGTCTGCGCGCTCTGTCCCATCTATGGCAGCGAATGGAAATCAAGTTTGGAAGGAAACACCTTTTGTGCGAGTTGGGATACTCGCGTCACGGGCCAGAAGATGCAGATGAGGCAAAGAAAACAGAACCAAATGGGTACCTCCTTCAGGTCATTTCGGACTGGCGCACTCTAGCCGGTGTTGACTCTGAAGTGGACGTCATGTGGAAACCAGAAATAGACTAGCGATGATAGAGCGAGCTTAAAATATAAACGGTAGACACGTTGAGGTAGAACTAGCACTTCATATAAACAGGCTGTCCTTGAACTTTGCGGTGCTGGCTATTATATTTATAAACGTATTTCTTACGTGTTGGTTCAATGGCGTAGTGGTTATCGCATCTGTCTTACACTGAGATTTGCACAGAAGGTCTCCGGTTCGATCCCGGGTTGAGCCAAGAAAGGTAGTATTTTTGAGTCTTTGTTTTATCATCCACTCCAACAAATGGGCCTTAGATATCTCTGTTACGCAGGCTCTGACTGAACACCTCGCAGAAGCAGCTGATAGAATATGCAGATGCTTTGCGTATGTGTCTGCAGGAAATAATATATTCAGCCGTGAAGGTCCTCCCTCGATTTAATTTGAGCGCTATCGCTCTCTTCAAAACGCGGTCTTTATGATTACTCCTCTTATATTCAGGTATTTGAGTACAATGTTCAGAACTGTGACCCATCACACGTATCAACAAAAGTATACCCTTCATAAAAATCCATACTCGGCTTTGATTATGTCCGCTGCATGCTCCGCTGGATATAGCAACAGAATCAGCATAACGCGCCTCAATACATTCGAGAGGTCCCTTACCGATACCGTAAACAGCCGCCGAAGTGTGGGCGGCGGGTAAGCTGGGCTGTGATTCATATTTTCATTAGCATCATAAACACTTTTGGCCGAGGAACGCACCGCGACGCTAGCATCGACAATCCTCAAACCCTTCACTCCCTTCACCTTCAAGTCAGGATTTACTACGCCCCAGTTGGTCGTATTGAATGGCGACATTGCAGCTGTTGCCACCGGGTGGAAGAAACTGACTGCATTTTCCCGTATAAATTCTTCAATGTCGGCATCCGTGGTAGCGTTTGTGAGGTCTTGCAAAATATACCCTCCCCATGCTGCAGCTTGCACGAATCGGTGGGCACTTTTGACGGCTTCGCGCAACACAGCAATGTCGACCGGATGTGACAGCAGACCTGGGTCAATGAGTGGCGCGTCGAAAGGATCCGTGGAGTTGATTGTAACGGCTCCAGCTGCACAGGATGTTAGCAAAAAATACTTTTACTTGTGAACATAACAGCATACTAGACTTGGGGGATACGTTCCCTGCTGGGATATTAAGATAGTTTCCTGAAGCTGTCACTGAATTTAGACCATTCTACGAAACAATCTTTGTTTGGCAAGACAAAAGAGAGGGTAGATAGCCCGTCTTACCTGGAACAGGAATTCGTAATGCGCAGTCTCATTTCCAGCAGCTGGGTCACCAAACTCCTTCAGTACGGTCGAGTTTTCCGGAAGCCTGAGAAAGGCTAAATGATTTTCGGAAGTGTCGACGTAGATTCCTGTTTTTGTTTCTTTCCACTGTTGCAATAACTCTTCCGCCAATGTCTGGTTCCGGAGAACAGTGTCGTATGTCAGAGTCGAGTTGACGAGCCACGTAGAAGATACACCGATGTGGTCAGTCAAATTTTGTCCGACAGAGGGTAGATCAACTAGCGGTTTCACGCCGAGGGACGCAAGTGCTGTTGCATTGCCAATTCCAGAATGCAAAAGAATACTAGGCGTCCCCACTGCCCCTGCAGATAGTATGACTTCTTTGCCTGCTCTAATGGTTTTCAGCGTTCCTGAACAAGACAAATATCAGCAATGCTCGTTATAGCAAATATCAGAACGCGCCATCAGCAGAGTTCAGGTATTGGACAACATTGAATAAATCATTTGATGAGGACAGGATTCTCGATACTCTGGTGTTAAGCAAGACGTCAAGATTCTTTCGTGCTATTACTTCCGGGCTTAAATAGGCAGCTGCATCTGAACGGACACCTCGGTCTATCAGAGCTTGAACCCATGCTGAAGGAGAAGATTAGAAATATATACAGGCGGACTCGATAAAAAAGACGTACAAACACCTAGGTGGTCACCCGTATTAGGATCTATGGAAAAAGGAAACTCCGCCGACTCTTGCGTAGTCTGAATAACTCTGTCATCAATTGCCCTACCGGCCCCTGGGACGCTAACACCGATGTAGCCTTCAAAACCATGGAACGCGGGGTCGAATTGACCGGTTATATTGTGACCATCCACAGGAAAGTTGAATTTTTCACTCTGTCCAATACGCGAATGAAAACTCAAGACTCGAACGTACAAGTCAACTCCGTACCTTTTTGAAGTAAGGAAGCATTGCATCCCATCCCCAGCTGGGATCACCCGAAAGTTCAGCCCATCGGTCGATGTTCTGCTTCGATCCACGGGTATAGACAAGGCAGTCTTGCAAGAACAACTTTCAGAGAAAATTTATCAAAACAACGAGGGCTGCACATACTAACAGCGCTGGTTCCTCCTAGACCTAAGCCTCTTGGAAAGGGTAAAACACGATCATTCAAGTTGGGTTGAGGGGTGGTAGTGTAGTTCCAGTCCCACTGGGTGTTTGGGGTCAACATTGTACACAGCAGTGGAACGTCGATGGTAATGACATCGTTATTTCTGAGTGAGCCCTCTGTGAGACGTAGACAACTAATTGAATAGATACGATAGATATTCTTACGCTCCACCTGCTTCAATTATGAGAACAGAGACGCTGGGGTCCTCGGTCAGTCGGTTGGATACAGCACTTCCACCAGGACCAGCTACACAAAGTGTCACAAATGGTCAGCTATTCGTAGAGAGGAGTGGATCGGACCTCCAATGACGACAAAATCATAGTCTTTGAGATCTGCAGCTGAGTGTAGAATCTTCCCAAAGCTTGGGAGAGTAATGAAAGCAGCGACAAAGAGCCCGGAGAGCATAAGGATTGGGGGAGTCATCGTTGCAGGGGCAGATGTCCATGCTTTTATAAATTGCACCACAGTGACCACTTGAAGTTGGAAATAGAGGTGTTCTCACCTTACGGAATTGAGCGGAATTGAGTGCAGAATGATGGCCTTCGAACTGCTATTCAATCTCCACGCAGATGACCGTCATCTTCAGGGTCCGCAAGTTTTGAGATTAAGTGAATCTTCTGATGGTCTTTGCATTCATGTGCAGGCGCGGTCTGAGGCGTCCAAAATGCGCTTGCCTTCCAGTCATGCCCTTCGAGGTTTCCAAGGGCGAGTTGGCGCTAGTCCTTCATGACACCCTGAATATGTGGGCCGCTGGCGCGCGCGTTAAGAGTGAGCATCGGCTAGTCGCTCGCGAGAGCACTTGGCATCTGGTATATACCGTTTATTCAGAACTGGATAACCGAGGTAAAACTGGACGCGCGGTGGGTTAGACTTTTAGAAAGAAGAGTTCATTATGACGACTTGCCTTGAAATGCAAAACCTCCAATGCTTGGCAGGAGATTTCTCCAGCTTTTTTCGCCATTGCAGCAAACGAGATACAGCGTATGCCACGCGCTGAACATGATTTTGCTCATCCGAACTTACCATTATTTGCTCTGAATCTTTTGAAAGAAACGCCGAGAGTCCGCGGTGGCAGTGCCGATTCCACTCATGGATTTCTCCACGCTGTCCCTGTATGTGGCAACGCCTGAGCAGACTGAGGTTTCTCGACGACGAACAGGGGTCACCCCATGGGGCAACGGGATGACTTTGGATGAGTATTTGCAACGCGATCTCGGACTGGAAAAGTCTGAATGCGGAAGGGATGGCAAGTACATAACTTGGTAAGCCAAATGAGCGTGTATTGTGAAGCAATCTGAATTGCGCCTTCCAGGGTCCTAGCGCCCCGGAGTGATCCTGGAACACTAGATTTTCTGTGCTCTTGTGAAACGTCCGCGCAAATCCATAGATCTCTTCCGATAATATTTTTACTCAATCCGATTACAGATTTCGTCGGTCTGGATTGGTTGCGAGGACGAGCCCTGATTTTTTATCCTCAGAGCAGGAGAAACAATCGGAAGCAGCTGTTGAAGAAGTTGTATGTTACGGAATCGCCTCTGTGTTCACGCCGCCAGAGAATCGCGGGAAAGGATATGCGCATCTAACGATGAGTCTTTTGCATTGGGTACTGGCCGGCGAAGTGCTGCCTGCAGACGCGTTCCCGTCTCACATATGGGGACCGCCACCAGTACCTCCTCCGGGAATGGGAAAGGCCGCGTTTTCTGCCCTCTGGAGTGACGTAGGGGACTTTTACGAAACCTGCAACCCCGACTCTACTGATCGTAGTAGAAGGAGTGGGTGGATTGTCAGAGGGACGAGAACGACCAAATGGTATCCAAGGAGCAAGTTGGACACTGGGACAGACCGGGAGTCTGAATATAAGGGCCAGGCTGGATCATGGATTTGGCTTAGCGAAGAACAAGTGAACGAGGCCACAATACACGATGCCGAACGTATGCACACAGATCTCCCCCTTCATTGGTCTCATTCAGAGGGCAGAACCAAAATCCTGTTTACCTTTCTCCCGTCCAGGGGTGTCGAAGCGTTTCAACGTGAGAGACTAAAACATTTCTGGGAGAAAGAAAGGATCAATCGATGGGGGGTTGCTTTGTTCGGGGAGAGCAGCCGGGATTCCAAGAAGCTTGACACAATTGAAGCATTTGCTACTTGGACACTTGAGCTTCGCCCACCTGCCCCTCGTACGTTGGTGGTAACGCGTTTGCATGCGCCCCATTCGGGGCATTTTGCCGAGATAATGCAAAGAATCTGGCAGTATTCGATCGACCATGATATTAAGGCCGTCGAGATTTGGAACTGTCCGCCTCATTTGAGAGACGCAGGTTATAGAGAAGCACGGCGATGGTTTGAACCACTGGGAGGGGAGGAGAATGAAGATTTCGAAAGAAAAGAACATCTTCCGGCTTTCAAATGGTATGGACGCGGTGGATCTGAATCACAACTTGCAGAAGGTGAAGTTGAATGGGCGTATAACGAGAAGTGCGTCACGGCTCTCAATGCATTTCACTGAATGATAGATCTTCTCCAGATTTTGCTGGTGTTAATGATACGAAACGATGCTGACAATCGATATCTACCTCTTTTTCAACTCCTAAATGCTTGTTGGGAGCCTCTTGAATGAAGGTCGGATACAATGTATTGAAATCTTAGTGAGATATCAGAGACCAAGCACAGCAGTTACAGCATTTGCACAATCAGTAAGTTAAACAACAAGAGAGAAATAAAGTGAAAGTACTCCAAAGTACATTCAGGGCACAGAAAGACGGCGGCATTAGGCAGACGCCGCAGCGTTTGCCCTATTTAGCTTCTGGACACATCCAATTGCAAAACGCTCCAGTTTGATTTTGAGATAACCACAATCAGAATCCTCTTCCTCGTCCACGTCCTCTACCCCTGCCTCCTCTACCTCTGTCACCACCTCTTACACCGCGACCTCTGGCCCGAGCTCCAGGAGCTTCAGCGCCTCGTCGTCCCTTGGGTTTCGGGGCATCGTCGACGAGCAGAGTGTCGAGAGGTAAAGCGTCTGGGAGAACAAAATATCGGATGTTGTTTCCTCTGATAGACAACGTATCGAGCGAAACGGGATCACGAGTGCGGGTTGTGAGTTTGACAGTCTTGAGATGGGTGTTCATTTGCATGTCAACACCTGCAATAGAAATCGTCCATCGACATAGGAAAAATCGTTGGAGGAGAATATGGAAATAAACCAAAAATGGGCGCACCAGTGATAGTCCCATGAACTACAGACCCATTCTTTAGCTCTACTGTTACCGTCTCATTGTTCAACTTCATAAGGAATCTAGACAAGTTTAGCGAATCATTTCCTGAGGACAAATTTGAGCCAGAGCTCCGTCAAATAAAAACCTACCGTACAAGCTTCATTTTTGACTAAAATTGAGAGCGCAGTTGAAGAGTCTTTAAGTTTTGACGGATTATAAATCTGCTCCTTTTTTGAGCAGCTCTCGTTGGCTGTAGCGTCGGGGTCGATGAGGATGAAGATGAGAAGTCACAGTGACAGACGCGTTAACCCTAATTAACCCTAGAATGCTCAACCCTAGAATGCTCAGCTGTTACTTAGTTGCCTCCTCGCACCTGTATCAGCGAAGTCATTGCCTAATCCAAATGCTTCTCTTTACAGACGCCATAACAAGTACTTTGGATTCGGCTCAATATCTTCGGTGCAAGCAAGATGAAGATACAACAAAAGTAAATATCATTGTTCCTGCTCTCCGCTGAAAACGAGGTCCAATAGTGTAGAGGTTATCACATGGGATTCTGATGAGTAAATGACTTCCCATGACCCAGGTTCGAGTCCTGGTTGGACCTTTCGATATGATCCTTTTTTGCTTTCAACAACTAAACCTCTCTGTTTTCTTGGAATAGAAAAACGGTACACGCATAGATCTCATGGTTATATATCACAGGCGGGAGAGCGAAAGAAAAATACACAAGATTTATTTGTCGCCAATGTTCCCTTCAGTCATCTCCAATCTTGGGCGCAAGGTAGTACCTAATGTATCCTTGTCCAAAGTCATACGAGACCTGAGTCCGGGTTAGATATTATCGATGTAGCGAGAAACGGTATTGTGATATACACACCAAAAGTGGCACGTCGTTGCTCATGTATAACTCCACCTTTTTGACGAGATTGGAACTTTTGCTAAAGTTGACCAAGTATTTCAATGAGAACGTAAGGGACACATGAGAATTCATTTGGATGACAACCGCGTCGCCCTCGTCCTCTTCGTCAGAGTCGGCTCTGGATTTTCCCTTTTTGGACTTTGAGGAGGAAGCTGTTTTGGCTTTTTTGGTGGGTTTCGAGGAAGAATTGGACTGAAGAAAGCGAGTTAGAAGTAAAATTAAAGAAAAAACAAACGGTCATGCCTTTTTCTTTCTCTTCTTTCCGTCTCCGTCTTCATCGTCCTCTTCCTCTTCCTCCTTCTCCTCCTCGCCGTCTTCGTTAGGCTGGTAGTCACCTTCCTCATCTTCCTCCATCTCAACATCCCCATCCTCAGTCTTTTCCTTCTTGACTTTGGCCTGCGCCTTGCTCTTCTTTTTGTTCTCTCCATCCTCGTCATCGTCCTCGCCATTCGCCTCGGCTTCTTCTTCGCCATTTCCTTTCTTTTCCTTCTTTACACCGTCACCTTCTTCTTCGTCGTCCGAATCATCACCTTGTGGTCCTCGTTCTACTTTTCCTATCGGACCCTGACCTTTCAGCAGGATGTTGCCGTTGGCGGCTTCCCCATCACTGGCGAACCGGACACCTTCTTTGCTAACCTCGATTCTCACTGAATCGCCTAACAAGGACAAGTCGCGCACAATACGCGCAAATTCGGCCGAGGATAGCACTACGCGGGCTTCGTACGAAGTTTTTGGGATTCCCAACGTTTCAGAGTCGATATCCATGAGTTTCAGGTCGTAAGAGGATATTCTATCAGAGGCTAAGCAGAGAAGATCGTGTTAAACGAAAAAAAGTCCTTGAAGGCCTATAGACTCACATTTAGCTTCGTAAACCAAATTCAACACATCAGCCTCATCAGCCGCATTGAGCGTGCACATGTCATCGTCTTTGGCACACTTTAAGACTTTGGTCAAGCTGCCAACATTTACGCCCAGAGGCATTGGTCGGTCACAGCGATATTTCTTGAAGCCGTTCTGGACCAACTTCACCGCGACCAAGGCAACGTGTGAGTTGTCCATGGCCTGCAGTGTGATACCTTCCTCTGAGCACTCGAAATTGGCGTCCGTGACGAGTTCTTTGATAGCTGGAATAGGTCAGTACGGAAAGATAACTAAGGACGACGCGTTCCTAAGAGGATACATACCATCTAGAAGCTTTTTGAGCACACTGGCTTCGGCAAGTCTAGCTTCCAACATGATTTTTGGGGTACGATACGCGTCAACAAAGTGGAAGAAGAGAAACAAACGCGACGTTTGTAACTGTTTGGCCCAACAATGATTATGGTATCACGTGACTCGCCGATCGGCAGCCCAATGCGAGAGCCACAACGTTTCTACACTCATTGCTCATGGAAAGGCGATGCCCAATATCTGAAGTAAGCTAGATATGCGCAAGTTCCACTCCAGTACTTCTCGGGCCCAAGCCATCAATATACATCAACATAAATACAGATTAAACGGAAGTCAAAGCTACAGGTTACCAGTGCAAACGATGTGTCGCACACTGGTATCCATTGGGGTTCTTGAATAGGTAAAGCTGGTGATACTGCTCCGCATCGTACCAAGGACCCGCTTCGACAATTTGTGTGACAATCTTCTCACCCCTTGGGGTAAAGTGCTTGTCTTGCACTTCTGAAGTCGCCTTCTTGGCAACTTCAAGCTGCTCAGGCGAGTGAGTGAAGATCGCAGAACGATATTCTGAGAAAAGAAATTGATCAGTCAGCAACAGAGGGACCGAGGTAAAAAGAGGAATCATACGTGTTCCCCTATCATTTCCTTGACGATCAAGCGTCGTAGGATCGTGTGTGCGATAGAAGAATTCTGTTGTAAGTAATGCGATTAAACCACTGGCACTTGGATTGGAAATGGATTTCACTTACCGACGAGTTCAGCATAGGACACAATACTAGAATCAAATTCGATTCTCAGAGCCTCGGCGTGGTCTGTCTCTCCAGAGCAGACATCTCGGTAACCGGGGTTGGCTGCACTGGCTTTTCCACCAGTGTATCCTACAGCAGTTTTGAGGATGCCCTTGTTTTCCGACGGGGGGTAATGTTTCAAAAAGATATGTTCGACACCCCAGAAGCAACCAGCTGCAAAGGTGGCAATTTCTGGAGTTGTACCAGCGGCTTAAACATACTTGAGCTGGAGGCTAAGTCTCAGGCGATTGCTTGCTTACCGGAAGACATTGCAGCACGGAAAGTAGATGGATCGAAAGATTTGCCAAATACAAGAGATTGAAGCCTTGCTAGCATAATGAAATCAAAAAAAGCTTTCTGCGGTTGCTTTGAGAGACTAACCAAAAAGTCACAAGTGATCGGTAATAACTCAGCGATGATCAGCCGTGGGTCATATAAAGTCCTGATCACGTGATAAAATCGTGATCCATTAATGATTACGACGCGACGCGTCAACCTTGCGCGATTGTGCATTTTGAAATCATAAATAGATAAGAATTTATCATTCTTTGACTACTTTTGTAACCAAAGTTATTCGTAAATGAGTCGTCGTACAAGCTACAAGAAAGATGGGACGGGATGAACTAGAGAGGTTCCTGCGTCTGGAATGGAGATCGAGGTGCGAATAAAGCAATGCAGAGAGACATATGATACACATATTTTAAAGACAGAGAGGAGCCAAAACAGGACGAAAGAAAAGACACAGATGTTGAGAGAGCGTGGTGGAAAACGATGGGGAGCAGTATGAAAACTGACGAGCAAAGCGTATATGCACGAATAATAGAACGAACATACTGAAAGTATGGAGAAAAAATTATACTTTTTCGCCGAAGGAACAAAGCGGCAGGTGTTAAATACTTTCAATCATGAGTAAAAAATCTTGGGAAAAAATTCCTTCAGATACTCAATGGAGGCACCGGCGAGCTGAAAAAGTTCGTCCTCTGAGACGAACTCGTACTACGGAATTTTGCATTCGGGTGATGAGCGTGATGATGATGACGGTGCTGGTGCTGTTTTGGATGATGGTTACGGTTACTGTACTGATTGACAGAACCGTAGCTTTTCCGCTTCAACTTTCGTTCCTTCCTCGCCTCTTTACGACTTTTGAAATTGGACGAAGGGGAATCCTCGTTATGATTGCGATGGGGGTTTCGAGAGCCACTGGCACCAGCGTTGGTGGGTGTACGTTCACCGTCTTTAACAGGGCCAAATTCTGGAGAAAGGACGTATTCCATCGAGCGCTGCGCTCTCTGTTTCGAGTTTGGATTGAAGGCACCGTTTCGATTGTGCCACAACATGGTACTAAGCGGACTACTTCTCATGACATTGCTGTACGCAGCGTAGTCGGGGCCAGAGTCGGAGCCCCAGCCCGCCGCAGAAGCTGATAAGACGCCTGTTTTCCGCAGGGCGCCGACGGAGATGACATCCCAACGATTGAGGCTTTGATTATATTGGCGCGTGGAGGGGTCAGCATTGGGGGTATCGATGGTGACGGAGGACGATGAGGTAATAGGCTCGTCGGCGTTGGTGGTCTCATTGACTTCAGTTCCGATAAGTAAAGATGCATCGAGAACTTCGTCGAGATCAATAGAAATGGACTCGGAAACAGGATCTTCCCATTGAGATGCCGACGTAGAGCCTGGAGATGTGATGGTAGCGCTTGGAGCCAAGCTCGTGTCCTCTGTTGACGACAAAAAATTGAGGCGAGAGGAGGGGGGAGGTAGAGAAGAAGGCCGAAGAGGTGTCGAAAGACTGTTGCGCAACATGGATTCCGCCTGGACAAAGAGTTTAGTTTAATAATAGATTGACAGGAAGCTACTTACCCCATTGGTCCTCCCGTGAGTCAATGACAGCGACAGGCTCTTATCTCGTCTGCCGGTGAACCTTGGATATGAAGAAGGGATATCTTTTTGATCCCCATCGATGACCGCCTGCCGAGTTTGTCCCAATATCTCGAAAAATCCTGTTCTTGGTAAACCGCCTCTAGCAGCTTTATCCTTTTCCTTGCGCTCTCGGGTTGCAGGGCTCTCTTCTTCATCCAGCTCTCCATCAAATTCATCTTCAATATCGTTCGTTTCCCACTGCATCCGATGAGCGAGAATGTCGCTCGGCCTGGGAGACTCGGTTCCGAAAATTGGGTCATGCCTAAACGGCCTGCCGACGGGGCTCATGGTTGAAAGAGGGTTGATGGCAGTGAACGAGTAGGGAGTGTTGAAAAGACTCATTGCACGCTCGTTAGGTAAATCATCGTCGCCAACGAGTTCTTCGTCCGTAGTGTCACCTTCGCCCTCGGCTTCCGCAGTATCCTGGTCGACATCTTGCTCATATCCTTCCTCATCGGGCTCTCCTGCGTCAGTCGAGAGCATATCGACATCACCATCCGGGCCTGGAGAGGGAGAAGCTTCTGGACCAGGTGGCAGAAAGGCAGATTCAAGGAGGTGCTGAAAACCATCTCGAGAAGACGACTCGAGCAGTCCATTCGTGAATACGACTTGACCGTCCCAGCCTTCAGTGAGCTCGAAAGCTAGATTGGGAATACCGATGCCAACGCCTTGTCTCAAATGAGGAATCAAGCTGGCGGCGGTCTCGGATAGATCAAGATCTGAATAGTCTCCTTCTTGGCCATCGTCGCTTTGGGTAGAAGACCCAGAAGAGTCGGATTCGTGATCGGAAAGATTTGCAAAGAAG